ACCCAGGTATGGGGCTGAGGCCAGGGTCAAGTTCACACTAGTGCTAGGAGCACCACCTCTCAGCTACAAAGCTCCTTAGCTCATCTAGTCCACCCCCGGGTAGCTTGCAGGAGGAGAGTATCCCCGTTGTACAGATGATGAGACTGATGCCCAGAGAGGTTCCAGAACTTTCCCTGAACTGCCCATTAGATAATGGGAGGAGCCAGGATTCAAACCCCTAGCCCGTTGGCCTCCAGAGCCCTAAACCAGGAGGAGAGCTAGGAAGACTGTGTGCCAGGTACCTCAGCTGCTGGTTAAGTAGCTTACCTTAGGAGGGTAGGATGAAGGGTGCTGGGCCCAAGGTGGCCTCTGACAATTGAGACCTATCCCTGGAAACAGCTTTCAGGCTGTCGCCTCCCTTCATGCCAAAATACATGCCCTTTGCGGGCCTGTCCTCCCAGACGGCCCATCTCACCACCACCCGTTCTTTCCAGCTGCTCCCCTCCCTGGCTTCAGCGCAGTGGTGGTCAGCTCTGTGCCCCTAGGGGGTGGGCTGTCCAGCTCCGCGTCCCTGGAAGTGGCCACGTACACCTTCCTGCAGCAGCTCTGCCCAGGTACTTCCTAGACCCCAGCCCCCGATCTAGCCCTCCTCTGCTTGTCAGAGCTCCCCTCTGCTGTGGCTTCGGGAAGGGGGTGGGGAACCTCCCTGGAGTGTCACTGGAACTCCCATGGCTCCCACCCCACACACCCCCTCCTGGGCCCCAGCCTCCCCACGTCACCCTGTGCCGCAGACTCGGGGTCCATAGCTGCCCGGGCTCAGGTGTGTCAGCGGGCCGAGCACAGCTTCGCAGGGGTGCCCTGTGGCATCATGGACCAGCTCATCGCACTGCTGGGGCAGAAAGGCCACGCGCTGCTCATTGACTGCAGGTCAGGGGCCTCCCTTGTACCCCCCCACCATCATCAGGAGCTTCTGGGTGGAGCATGGCCCCCTGGCTGGTGTGGCACGTGGACCCTCGGGCTTGTCCTCTTCCTCACTCCAACTCAATGCCAGGTCCCTGGAGACAAGCCTGGTGCCGCTGTCAGAACCCAAGCTGGCCGTGCTCATCACCAACTCCAATGTCCGCCACTCCCTGGGCTCCAGCGAGTACCCGCTGCGGCGGCAGCAGTGTGAAGAGGTGGCCCGGGCGCTGGGCAAGGAGAGCCTTCGGGAGGTGCGGCTGGAGGAGCTAGAGGGTGAGAGCTGGCTGGGGGCCCTGTGGGGCTGCCGGGCCCTCCGTGTAGCCTTGACCCTGCCATGTACCCCTCATCTCCAGGGACCTCCGCTGCACTCTGCCCGCTCCCCCAACCTTGTAGACCCTCCAACCTCAGCAGGGCTGCTTGAAATCTTCATATTGTTTTCTCCTTTTTTTTTTTTTAAGATTTTATTTATTTATTTGACAGAGAGATCACGAGTAGGCAGAGGGGCAGGCAGAGGGGCAGGGGGCGCAGGCTCCTTGCTGAGCAGAGAGCCCGATGCGGGTCTTGATCCTAGGATCCCGGGATCATGATCTGAGCCAAAGGCAGACACTTAACGACTGAGCCATCCAGGCGCCCTGTTTCTCTTTTTCTTTTTTAAATCTTTTTTTTTTTTTTAAGACTTTATTTATTTGTCAGAGAGAGAGGGAGAGAGAGCGAGCACAGGCAGACAGAATGGCAGGCAGAGGCAGAGGGAGAAGCAGGCTCCCCGCCAAGCAAGGAACCCGATGTGGGACTCGATCCCAGGACGACGGGATCATGACCTGAGCCGAAGGCAGCTGTTTAGCCAACTGAGCCACCCAGGCATCCCTGTTTCTCTTTTTCTAACGTTATCTGAGAACCCTTACCTGGGCCGGCAGAGGCACGTCATCAGCAGGGCCTGTGAAAGCTATAGACAAGTTCGGCGCGCGGGTGTGCTGTAACATGACCATTTGCCGACGATTGCACATGACGCTGTGACGATCGGTTTCATACACAAGTGTCTCCGTGTTCTCGGTATTTTCTTAGGATTGGATTCAGAGGAGTAGGATTGCAAAGTCCAAAGGTGCCTGTATCTGAAAGGTTCCTGGTACGTGTGGCCGGGAAGATAGTATATTTGATAGTTTGAAGCTCAGGTCAACATCCCCTTGTTCTGCCGTACCCTGTGGAGCGGAGGCTGTTACTACTCTGCGTGTTTTGGATGAGGCAGTGCTGAGTCTCGAATCGGGCAGCTCAGCCCCCAATCTGTACTCTCAGCTGCGGGCCAGGCTGCTGGCCTCGGGAGCCGTGCCCTCCCTGGCAGGGTGCAGGTGCCCATTGCTGGGATGCTGGCCAGCCCTGTGGGACTGTCTTGTCCTTCTCCTTGGTGAACTGTCCCATTCAGAACTGCCCCGTCTGCTCATTGCAGGCGACCTTGACGGAGGTTTTCATGCTGGAACACTTTGGGCGTCCCTCCTCTCCACTGCACACCTTCCCCACCACTCGTGTGTGTGTGTGGGGGGGGGGGGGTCTTCCCTCCCTGGGGACCGCAATGCTGCCTCTGCCTTCTCCAGAGTCCTGTATGGAAAGGCCTCCTTTGCCTCGTTCCTGTGCCCTGCCTGGCTCCTCTCCTGCTTGGAAACACGGCCAGTTCTCTTCTCTTTGAAAATTGAACCTCTTTCCTGTGCCAGTCTTGGTGGGAGACTTAATGCTTATGGCCCATTTTGTTGTCTATGTTCACTTCTCAGTCCTCTCAGCCGCCACCGCCACTGCCACCTGGGATTGGGGCCTGTAGCCCGTTGCTCCCCCGGCTGGAGCCTCCCCCCATTTCCACCTCTGGTTCCGGAGCCTCCACCTGATTCCCAGTGGAACTCTGCATCCTTCCTCCCCTAGAGGCTTCCCCTGCTGACTTCCCCTTGCCGGTTATTTCTCACCCTTGTCACTCCTATGTGAGACCTCGGTCTCCTCTGTGTCCTTATGTCCCCCCTCCCATTCTCCTTTCCCATCTCTGTCCCTTCCATGCCTTCCTCCCCCCACACCATGGCTTTCTGAGTATTTAGCAGCTGCTGTCTGGCTCCTGGTGCCTGGGTCTCCCAGCTCGGGCTCTCTGCCCAAGGTGGTTGCTTTGGTCACCTACTTCAACACCAAACCCTTGCCTGCTCCCGAACCGCCGTGGCCCTCAATTCAGCAGCAAAGCCTCTGGCATTCAGGGCTGCCCCTACCGAATCGGCTGGCTCTCCCCACCTCGGCATGAACTGGGGAGGACAGCCCGATGCCAGTGTGCCCTGCGGCTTGATGTGTGCCTGGGCTGCACCCCGGCTCTGGAGCCCCAGCCTCTCCAGTGGAGGCTCCACTGGTGCTGCAGCGTGAACGGCGGCAGGAGGACTTCTCCCACTTGCACTACCGTGGGCTCCGGGAGGCGGCCGTGTGTTGCCCCTCACCTTGGAAGCATCAAGGGTCTGGGGCTTCTCCTGCTGTTTACTGAGCACCCACTGTGCACCAGGCCCCCTGCTGGGAGGGGGGCTCTCTGTGGGTTCTCTCAATGTTTGCTGCGCCCCAAGTGACTTTTAAGATTTTATTTATTTATTTGACAGAGATCACAAGTAGGCAGAGAGGCAGAGAGAGAGAGGAGGAAGCAGGCTCCCTGCTGAGCAGAGAGCCCGATGCGGGGCTCGATCCCAGGACTCTGGGATCATGACCTGAGCCAAAGGCAGAGGCTTTAACCCACTGAGCCACCCAGGCGCCCCCCCCCCCCCGTGACATTTTATAGTTGGGGGCCGGGGGAGGCTCCGAACCTGAGTGACCAACACAAGGTTCTGGGCACAACTTTGTCCGAATGAGGTCTCCCAACTCTCGGCCCTCCCCCAGCCTCCCACTCCCAGGCCACCACCTGGCGCCCCCATCCCCACATCGGTAGGGGCCCAGAGGTGATGGGTGGCAGGTCCGCTGACCCCGTTCCTTCCCCAGCTGGCAGAGACCTGGTGAGCAAGGAAGGCTTCCGGCGTGCGCGGCACGTGGTTGGTGAGATTCGGCGCACGGCCCAGGCGGCGGCCGCCCTGAGCCGTGGGGACTACCGAGCCTTTGGCCGCCTCATGGTGGAGAGCCACCACTCGCTCAGGTGAGGACCTTGGAGTGCCCAAATAGCCCAGGGTGAGGCTAAGCCCTGGGACGGGGCTGTGCTAGGCCCTCCCTGTCCTCCGTCCTCTCCGCAGGGATGACTATGAGGTGAGCTGTCCTGAGCTGGACCAGCTCGTCGAGGCTGCACTGTCTGCACCTGGGGTTTACGGCAGCCGCATGACTGGCGGTGGCTTTGGCGGCTGCACTGTGACCTTGCTGGAGGCCGCCTCCACCTCCCAAGCCATGCAGCACATACAGGTGGGTGGGCACCAGCACGCAGGGGTAGGAGGGGTGGGTTCCCAGGGCCATGCCATGCTGAGACCCCCCACCTGCCTCTCCCGCAGGAGCAGTATGCTGGCACCGCCACCTTCTACCTCTCTCAGGCGGCCGATGGCGCCAAGGTGCTGCGCTGGTGAGGCATTCCCCGGGGACGGCACCCGGTGGGCATGGGGCCTGCCAGGCAGCAAGGCACAAAGCTCCAGGCCCCGGCCACCTGCCCTCTGCATCTGGGTGCTCAATAAATTTGTGCCTCCCACCACTGACCCGCCTGCCTGCCTCTAGAGGTGGGCGTGTGCTTGGGTATCCAAGGAGCCCCGTCAGAAGCGCTCCCCCCGCGCTGTGCAGGCATTCCCTGCGAGAACGGACCGGGCAGGGCCAATCGGTAGCAAAATCTTTTATTAAGCGTGGAACAAAGCAGGGGCCTTGTCATGCTGGTTCCAGCTCTTTGGTTATGTGCAAATGGGCTTGGGCCTGGGGTAGGGGCATTGCTGCCAGAAGGGCCTTCTGGGACCTCTGCGCCCTTTATTCCTCCCAGAGGACACCTTCTGTCCTCCGTAGCCAGAGGCACCGGCCCTGTGGTCAGCATTTGGGTGTGCTGGGCCGCGAGGGGTCCACGGGTGGAGGAGCCAAGCCAGAGCCAGGGAGAGGAGGCGGGGTGGGGGCCCAGGTTCCCGCACACGGGTGGGGGCCCAGGTTCCCGTACACGGGTGGGTAAGGGTTGGGGGCTCAGGTCTGGAAGAACTGTTGGTCCACCTGGGTGCTGAGCGTTCCACTGGTGGTCAGCGTCTGGCTCACAAACTCCTGGGTCACGTGGCGGGTAAGGGAGCCACCTGCTTCCAGGCGTTGGGTCCCTATGCTCAGTCCATCTGCAGGGGAGGACGCACTGAAGGACTCTGCCTGGGGCCCTGCCTCTCCTGCTCTGTGAGCTCTGTATCTCCCACTTCCCCGCAAGGAGAGCTGGATCCCCTGCCCAGTAACTCACCCAGTAGGAAGGGCTCGGTGGTACTGGTGTGCGTGGTGGTGATGCCACTGTACTCGCCTGGCAGTGAGTGTTGGAAGAGCCCAGCATGGCTGCCCAGTTGTGGGAAAGGGCCTGGCATGGGCAGATGGGCCAGGCAGAGATGAGGCCAAGAGAAGAGGTGGCCAGAGAAAGGGCAGGGGCTAAGAAGGGCTGAGGCACCCTACCTCCATCCTGGGACTCAATGGTGATGATGCCCTCACGCTCTGGCCCGTAACCTTCGGTGGTCTTGGCCTGCACCTTGAACTTGTAGGGCACGTTCTCGCTGAGGCCTGGCACGGTCAGCCGGCTCTCAGGGCTGTCACCATCCACCAGGAACGTGGTGGCTGGCTCTGGACAGGGAAGATGACTTAAACCTCTGCAGCTCCCTCTCCATCCCTCCCCTGGCCACCCCTGACCTGGGGGCAGGCAGCACCTCCTCCATGGGCCATCTCGCAGGTCACCAGGTAGCCAAGGATATTCCCATCGGGCCTGCGTGGCCGCTCCCAGCTCAACTGCAGCGAGTCTGGGCTCAGGGCAGTAAACACCAGTGGGCCCGGGGCACTAGGTGTGCTCAAAGTGAAGGTGGAGCCTGGACATAGTAGAGCAAGGATGTCAGTGTCTGTGTCCATAGGAGACCTCATGGGGGCAGCCACGCGGTGGGGAGGCAGCTCACCTGGCAGGGGGCAGAGTGGACTCTGGGGGTGCACCTGTGACTCAATGGTGATGACACCCTCGCGCTCTGGGCCCCAACCTTCCTGGCTCTGGGCCCGCACACGGAACACATAGGAATGGTTGGGCAGAAGGTCTTCCACCACCACTGACGTCTGGCTGGGGTTGGGGATGTTTAGGTGATATAGCTCTCCTGCGGGTAGGGTGGGAGACAGGGGAGCAGTATTATTCCCACCCCCGGCCTGATCCCACACCTTCCCTAGGCTGCCACCAAGATCTAGTCATCACTCACCCAGGATTAGCTGTGGTTTGGGGGCAGGTGGGATCAGCCTGGTATGGTATGGTTGGTTGTTTAGGTTGTACACTATACAAGGGATGAGTGCCGTCTAAAATTCCACTATGTTTTGGCTGTTGATGGGCCCCAGTCATGCTGCCGTGATTTTGTCTTCCAGGGAAGCCCCATTTCCCACCTCCCATGCCAGCAGAGGCTCTAGGTCCCCTAGGCCAGTGAAGCCTTGTTAGGCAAAACCTAGCAGAGGGAATAACTTGGAGAGAGGCCCAGGGAGGTGGATAAGAACTCCGGAGAGAGGAGGCCATGAAGGGCAGTGAGGAGGAGCATGGAAGAGAGAGACTCTCCGAAAGTCTGGTGGGGATCATTAGCGTTTGAGGGATTTGGAGGGATTCCTATCCAGCCGGATGCTCCTGAGTGTCCCGACCCTGAGCCGAGCCCGGCAAGACATCATCCCCGCAGCCCGCCAACAGCAGCTGTGCCTCACCGCCGCTCAGCAGCTGGTACTCCACGCTGTAACCCTGCAGCACCTGCTCGCACTGTGGCTCCTGCCAGCTCACTTTCAGAGATGTGGGTCCCAGGGCCGAGAACACCAGGCGGGTGGGTGTGTTGGGCACACCGGCAGCCAAGCGGGGGTCTGAAGACGGGAGGCCACAGTCAGTTTGTGGCGGGACCTCTGTTCCCTGACCTCCCTGGGCTGTCAGGTCTCTGCTCAGCACTGGCCTGCCAGCTCGCTCACCCTGCCACACCCTGGCCAGGCCACCCAGCCCCTCCTGCCCATCTCAGAGTGGCTGTGGGCTCGAGGGTGAGCATCGTGAGATGGCCCTCCCCCACTGGCCTGGCGCCTCTCCTCCCCCAGCCCAGCGCCCCTGGAAGGACAGAGGCTGAATGAGGCATCAGCACTGATGGGGATGGAATGGAGGGTGAGATGCTGGGTCTGGGCGCGGCTGCAATGACCAGATGGATGACAGATGGAGCAGGACAGCTGTGGAGACACGGGATGGCCACCCCTGTACTACCTGGGTCCCGGAAGGGCGCTGCTGGCTGCCCAGCCAGGATTATAGTGTCCCGTGAGTCCCCAGAGGGAGGGAACCCCTTCATCTGAGCCCGACTCAGGGGGCCCAGGGCCCAGGACAGCGGAAGCCTGCTCCTCCCCTCTTCCCAGATGGGAGGGAGGCCTGCGGCAGGACAAAACAAGAGTGAGCGCGCAGGAAGGGTATGTTGGAGGACGGGCGGCGGGAACAGAACCCCGAGCCTGCTGGAGCTGGAAGAGAAGAGGGGTCCGGGGGAGACGCAGGGCTGGTGGCAGACACTCACTGTGGGAGGAGACGGAGGAGAGGGTAGAGTAGTCTCTGGGCAGTGTGGCAGAGTGGGAGTGCTCTGTGCGGGTCAGCGAGTGGTAGTCACGCGTGAGGGTGGAGGAGGTACTCAGCACCCGGTGGGACAGGTGTGGGCTCAGGTGGGTGCCGTAGGCAGTGTTGGCCACAGTCATCCTGTGCAGGGAGTTGGCACTGCCCGGGAAGGCAAACTCCATCCGCCCGTTCACCAGGTGCTCTGCAGGAGGAGAGCAGGGTCACGGAGGCAGACCTGTACCAACCCAGAGCCCCGTGGGGCAGGCTGTCACCCTGGGAATTCCTAGGATTACCTATGGGGGGGTGGTGGCGTAAAGAAACCCAGCCTTCCTTGGCCACCAGGGACAGAAGGTCTGTGTTCCTAGTGGGGTCCCAAGGGGCCACACAGGCTTCTGCAGCCCATGTCTACTGGTGCTCAGGATGCCGGTGTGGATAGTCTGAGGGTCACTGAGACCTTGCAGTTAGCCCTGCCTTGGTGGGGGCGTGTGTGGCAAATGTCTGCCCTGGGTCCCTTCAGGCCTCTGAGGGGTCTCCTTGGGTACTACAGCCTGTCCCCTAGACACAACAGACTTCTGAAGTTGTACACTCCTGCGGGCAGTCCTGCTTTGAGGACAGCCAAATGCCTGCCCCGGGGGGGCCGTTGGCTCTGGGGGTCGTCCTGGCACAGTGGCACCTTCCCAGGCCAGCGGGGAGCCTTCCTGGGCAGCCTGGCCACAGGGGGCTCAGGCCGGGCCCAGGCAGCCAACGAGCCTAGCTGGGTGCGGGGTCGGGGCAGGCAGGGCAAGCCCGTCACCTCCAGGGGGCCTGGGTGTGGCGCCACGGGCTAGGCCGCCACCCTCCCCGCCCATGCCCGCCTCCGCGCGGTCGTTGGGGGCGCCGCGGGGCGGCTCGCCGTCGGAGGAGCGCCTGCTGCTGGCCGACAGGCGCGGGATGAGCTCCGGGGGCAGCCGCCACGTGATGCGCCGCAGGTCCAGCTCCTCCCCCAGCAGGGGCTCGAACTTCCAGCCGCTGCCTTGGGAACAACGAAGGGCCGCGTTGGCACCGCCGGCGGCTGCAGGCGGCTGCGGGAGGGGGCGCGGCGGGGCGGAGACCAGCGACGTGAGCCGGTCCTCGGGCTCTCCGGAATCCGAGTGTGCGGGAGGGGCGCGGGTGGTCGCGCAGCAGGCGATGGCCGGGACCCTCGGCCCCCGAGGCGGAAGAGGAGCCCTTCCGTGGGAGCCGGGGCAGGCGGGGCTGCGGCTGGTGAGGCAAGACGCCCCCCCCCGGGGTGGCGCTGGCTCTGTCACCAGCTCTGTCACCTCGGTTTCTTATCTGTGGACTGGAGAGAGTAACCTCTCCCCTGCCTGCCTCCCAGGGACAGTTCCAGAAGCCACAGAGTGCGTCCCAGGTAGAGTTAGGCCCTGAGTTTGGGCACCTGATTCATACCTGCTGTGCTTTCTCACAGCCTCAAAACCCCCATAACCTTTGGGCTTGGGTTCCTTAAGCCCAAGCTCAACCCTGCCAGGGCAAGGATGGAAGAGAGTAGGACTCCGGAGGACTGTGACTCCTGGCATGGTATGACTGGCGTCCTGCTCTACAGATCAGAGCACCGGCACAGAGAGACTGAGCAGTTCATCTGATGGCCCACAGCAGAGCCGCGCTCACACTGAGTGCCAGGGGGGCCAGCTGAGGGCCCTTTATCCCACACCGGGGAGTCAGGGGGGAGGGCAGGGCAGGGGGCCATGCCTGCCACCTCCCACATGGCCTTGTCCCTGGGAGGTGGCCTGAATGACCCAAGTCCACGGTACAGCCTTCCAGGTGCGAGGCTGTGTTCCCACATGGGCCCGTGTGCGTGGCCTGGCCGACCCTGTGTGCCTCTGCTCCTAAGCAAGTCTGTCGGCCTGTGCTTATACACAGATGTGCACACGACTGCCTGTGGGCCACACTGGCTTTGTCCCCTCTGTACCCCACGCCAGCGTGGCACCTGCCAAATGGCAGGCTCTGCCGATACCCGTGTGGAACCGAGAGGGGCTTCTGGTCTTGCTCTCTATGCCCGGTGGTCACTGGCCCCTTTGCTTTCTCTGGACACCAGTGACAGTCCCACCTCCTCCCCAGGACTTCCTGTCACGGATCCCAGACCCACTCACCAGTGTCATCGGAGACGCTAGGCCTCTGGCTGCCAGTAGGGGAGCGTAGAACGTCATCGCTGTACATGAGGAAGCTTTCGTAGTCTTCCCCGCACTGGGCGTCCACAATGGGGATGTCCGGGATGATGGGGACTGCAGGAATGGGAGGGGTAAACCAGGGCTCCAGCCCTGGCCTCCCAGCCTCTGTCCCGCCTGCCCCCTTCCTCTGCTCCCCGCCCCCACTCACTGGACATGGGTCGCTTGGGCTGGGTGGCCAGGTTGATGATGGCCTCCCGCTCCGGGCCCCAGCCTGCCCCATTGCGCGCCTTCACCGTGTAGCGGTATGGCTGGGACTCCCGAAGGTTCTCAATGAGCAGCATCCGCTTCTTGGGACTGTCCACCAATACCTTCTTCATGGGCCCGATGGGTCCTGGGGCAGGGAGAGCGCCTCAGATGAGTCATTCTAGCTTCCTGCCTGGCCTAGCCCCGCTCTGATGCAGCAGCCCCCCTGTGTGGGCTCTTTACTTCCCAGAGAGAGCACAGGAAACAAGGCCGGGAGCAAGCAGCTGCGGGAATCCCGGGTCACACCAGGCCCTGAGAACCTGGGCAAGACTGGTTTCAAGAAGTGTCACCGACTCTCTGAAGGGCTCATCCTTAAGTGGCAGAGTGAGGACAAGACTCAAGGTGGCTTCGATGTCACCTCTACTGATTGGCGCTGCGATGGCCCTGTGTCCAGGGCGCCTCCACCGGACACACATTCTGGCGGTGAGGGCGCCTGTGCCTCATTGCCCACCGCTAAACCCCAGGTGCTGAGGGCAGAGATGGCCCAACACCCACCACAGCTGCCATGGGGTCCCCTTACCCTAACCCATGAGCACCTAGAAGGGTGGACACACAGCCCTGGGAGAAAGGAGAACGTGACCCCCGTAGCTCAGCGCAAGTTCCGGGTTTAGGCCCAGGCCCAACAAGAAGGGTTCTGCCGTGAGGTGCCTGGGTGGCTCAGTTGTTAGGCGTCTGCCTTCAGCTTAGGCCCTGATCCCGGGGTCCTGGGATCAAGCCCCGCATTGGGCTCCCTGCTCAACGGGAAGCCTGCTTCTCCTTCCTCCACTCCCCCTGCTTGTGTTCCCTCCCTCGCTCTTTCTCTGTCAAATAAATACACAAAATCTTAAAAAAAAAAAAAAAAAATGAAGGGGTCTGCCCTGCTGGAAGGCTTCTGGGAAACCAGAGAAGACACAAAAGACTGGAAGCCAGAAAAGGTCCCCATCTCCAAAGTCGTCCAAAGGAGGCTTCTGGAAAATGATACCTCATAAGCTTGGTGTTGGCCCCTAGCAAGCAACTGTGCTTAAAAAGAAATGGTTGGTGGAGGCCTCTCAGCCTGGGGGAGGTCTCTAGCTGCCAAGGTGGGCACTGTTTCTTGGCCAACCCCTCACATCCCTGTCAGCTAGAGGGAGAGGGGGAGAGGGGCACCCGCCAAAGTCCTGATGCCTTCAGCCAGGTGGGCCATCTGGTGCATTCCAGGACACAGCAGAGACCTCAGCAGGCTGAAGCCATGGCTGAAATCATCAGAAATGAGCTTTCGACAGGATACATATCACTCCTGGGATTAGAGGCATAACAGTGTCTCTGTAATAGTGGTCATGGGTGGGTTAGAAACCCAGGATGCACCAAAGGTGGGACGCAGCTGGTGATGCTGTGTGTGGTCTGCTTGGCTGCTAAAGAGCAACAAATCTGATGTCTGGAATAATCTCTCGGCTCTCCGCCCTACTGGGCTACGCCGGAGTGCTGAGCCTGACCCATGTTAAGGCCCAGAGGTCGTATGAGATGGTGAGCTCCCCGTGCCTGGGATGGACCAAGGAGAAGTGAGGGCACAAGGAGGAGGTCCCTGCACCAGGTGGTTGTGGAACTGATTCCCCTCACTGTCTCGTCTTGGCAATTGGTGCGGTTCCCCACCCTCCCCTCCCTTCCAGGCCTGGGAGGAAATAATGATGTGGCCAAGTAAAATGTTACATAAGTTGGACTAAAAAAATTGTTTATCTGAAACTCAGGGTATCCTCTATTTGCTAAATCTGGCAACTCTTCTTTGGCCCCAAGAGAACCATGTGAAAATGAGGCACCCTGGTTCCCTGTATGGGAAGGCACCCCTGATCGTGTGACCTCACTGCACATCTGTCTCACGCCTCCCATCCCCACCTGCCCTGTGTGCTTCTGCGCTTGGCCTGGGGACATGACCAGCCCAAACCTGACCGCAAACCTGATGATGCCTCAGGCAACCGTGGGGGCGGACCACAGGGATGCCATAACTTCCCTCCTGCTCTTTGTCCCCTCCCCTTCCTGCCGTCCCCAGGGGTGGGGGGGGGTTGGAGGGGTCCAGGTCCTTACGGTTGTCCTCGTTGACCAAGCCGTAGCAGACCTCATAGGCTGTGATTTCACCGTTGGTCTCCGCGGGCTCAGCCCAGCTCAGCTGGGTCACAGTGGAGGAGACGACATTGAAGGCCAGCCGCCCTGGCTCACTGGGTACTGGGGCAGGGGAGGGGGGCAGTACAGGAAGAAAGCTGTAAGCAGCAGCAGAGCGAGGGCCGGGTTCTGGGAGGTGCTGGGGGAGGGGGGCAGAGCCGGGCATCAGGGTAGTCGGGGACAGACACAGGTGGTGTGGCCTCACCTTCCTGGTGTGTACGGCAGGACACCAAGGAGCTGTAGGGGCCCTCGCCCTGGGGCCCGTAGGCGCACACCTTCATCTCGTAGTCGCAGTACGGGTACAGGTTGGTGAGCTCCGCCGCGGGAGCCTTGCTGTCAAGCAGGTGGGCTTCGGACTCGGGGTCACCCTGGATCCAATATTTGACCTGCCCCCAGGGGAGGAACGGGTCAGTGGGGAGCGGCAATGGCCAGAGCTGCTCGTCCCTCCACGGACCTCCTGCTCTTATCGTCCCCTTTGCGTAGATGAGACACCGAGCGGTTGGTGACTTGCCAGGTTCACACAACAGGGCTGGGGCAGAACTGGGGTATCTCTGGGGTGGATGGAGGGGCCACATTCCAGGAAGGAGGGCAAATGTCTGAAAACGTCAGGGATGGGTCTTTCCTCTTCCCCAGGCAGATGGCGGCGCCCCCCGTCCCCGGTGGGCCAAGCATGCCCTCCCCATCACCTCCGGGGCCCTCTGGCCGCAGGTGGCTCACGTCCCCAGCGGATACCAGGCCTCCCCCTCCACACCCCTCTGCCTCCCACCTTACCCTGTACCCTGCCGGCTTGCCAGGAGGGGGCAGCCAGTTGAAGTGGATCTTCCGGGACCCGGCAGCCTTGGCATTGGGGTTCTGCGGGGCGCCCAGGTCACCACGGTGAGGGAATGCTGAGGGTGTCTGGCTTGTGAAGTTCCGGTCCAGTTGGTCTGTAGGGAGCCAAGCCTGAGCGCGGCAGCCAGCTCAGCCACCCCCTCTTTGATGGAGGCAAGAATCCACCCTCACCGCCAGGGGGCTCCCCCCTACCCTTGCCCACCAGCACTCAGCAGACAGCCGCCCCCCCAGACCTGTATTTTTACTTGCCAAGACGGACAGCCTCCGTGGAGAGCCCCCCCACCCCCAGCCCTCCCTCTGCACCTGCTTAACCACATCCCTGGCTCGGCGCACCTGGGTCCCCAATGGTGACGGTGGCTGAGTGGGGCTGGCCCAGGCGGGCCCCGAACTTGGGGTTGGTGAGCTGAATGTGGAAGCGGCGGGTCTGGCAGCCCCGCAGGAGGGAGTCCATCTCCTGTTGCTCCAGAAGCTTCACCTGTAATTCCTTCCAGGTCTCCCCAGGTTGGAAGAGCAGCTCACCCTCTGCGGGGATGTAGTCCTGGGAGTGGGGCGGGGTCAGGGTCAGACAGGCCCTCCACCCCGATCTTGTATATCCGACAGAGACCACCCCACGTGGACGCGAAATGGCTTATGTTGCTACAGCACCTCCCTGCTCCCCCCCGCCCCATGCATCAAGCACTTTACAAATATTAGCTCATTTGACCCCCACAGCACTGTGAGTTGGAGCTACTACTGTCCCCCGTTCGCAGATGGAGAACCTTGCCCAAGTTTGCACAGGTAATTGTGGTAGAGCTGAGCTTTGAACCAAGACCCAGAGCTGGGGATGTGAACATACAGAGAGTCCCACACTGGCAGGCTCCACCCAGGGAGGGAGGAACCCCTGCCCCCAAATGTGGCTCTGAAGTCTGGGATCCCACCGGGCCCCAGGCCCTGCCTTCTGGGTAGGGTGCCTCCATCAGCTCCAGCTTTCTTCTTTCTTTTCCTTTTTTTTTTTTTTTTAAGTTTTATTTATTTGAGAGAGAGAGAGCGCAAGCAGGGGTAGGGTCAGAGGGAGAGGGAGAAGAAGACAACCTGCTGAGCAGGGAACCCGCCACGGGGCTCAATCCCAAGACCCTGAGACCATGACCTGACCCAAAGGCAGATGCTTAATTGACTGAGCCACCCAGGCGCCCCTCCAGCTTTCTTCATTCAAAGCATCAGAACTCTCCTGAGTTTCTGGAACGCGAGTGTAGAATGGGGCCATCAGCAGCAACTGGGGTGCGCTTCGACCACTAGGTGGCGCTGCAAACTAACATTTCAAGTCCAGGCCCAGCAAGGGGCAAATTCAAGGAAATTTAAGGAAAGTAGGAGTTACCTGCTAGAACATTTCCAAACGTCAAAGTCACAAAAGACAAAGCAGGAGAGTTGTACCAAATTAAAGGAGACTTCAGACACATAAAAAAATGCAATGCCAGATCCTTGACTGTTTCCTGGATTGGGGGCGGGGGTGGGGGGAGGGAAAGAGCTATCAAGGACATTGTGGGGCCATGTGAACAAGGGGAGATCTGAATATGGACCGATTATTAGGTAATGCAACAATGTGGGCTTTCTTAAAGTTGGTAATGACAACGTTGTGTAGCATAGCCTTGTTCTCAGCAGGAGCCTACATGATGTCTACCGCTTACTTTGAATAGTTCGTCAAACAAAATGAAATGGAACACAACTCTCTCTCCCTGGGTCTCTACAGTTACAGATAAGAGATATACATCCACGCATAATTCTGTGTCTAGGTACGGGCATCTTGTAGGGAAGGAGAGAGAGAAAACCAGTATTAGTTGGCGACTCTCTATAAAGGGTAAGTGGGTGCTGATTTTATTAGTCTTTTCTCTGCAGGCTTGAAGTTTTTCAAAATAAAAAATTGGGGAATAATAATAATGTTTCTAAAAACATATAAATACCAAGTATCTTTATAAAAGCACAACAGGATTGCCAGAATCTCTTAGATAATATGGTGTATTCAGTGAAACTTACGGACCTACAATTCTTCTTTGGAACTTTCACTGGGAGCACGGGAGTGGTGATGGGAACTGTTCCGTAGACTAAAAGGCAGAAGAGGGTGTGGCCAGGCTGCAGGAGCCCGAGCCCGCACACATGCTCCCATGCATTTGCCTAACAGGCCTGCGGGCCCACAGAGACCACATTCTATTACCCGCTGAGTCAACTGCTGGTATAAATATTTTTAGCTTGTACATGTTGATAATAAATTCAGAAACATAAACCTGGAAGCCAAGACAGTACATGCAACACCTGAGTTTGGTTCTTCCCGGAGACTCGGGCCCCGTGACAGAGGGGACGGGGGCCCTCGTGCCAGGCGCTCCCTGCCTTCAAGGGTTGCCTCTTGCTCTTGGCCCTGGGAGGGCCTGCCAGGCAAACTGAGACAGTTCCTTGGGGAGTCTGCCCAGGGGCCATGTGGCCTCTGATCCCACCTCAAGAAGCCCAAAGCCCTGGGGGTGGTGGCTCAGTCGGTTAAGCATCAAACTCCTGATTTTGGCTTGGGTCATGACCTCAGGGTCCTGGGATAGAGCCCCACATTGGGCTCCGTCCTTGGCATGGAGTCTGCTTGTCCCTCTCCCTCTGCCCCTCCCCACTGCTCGTTCTCTCTCTCAAATAAGTAAATAAATAAACAAATAAAATCTTAAGGGGAAATAAAAAGAAGCCTAAAGCCCCAGGATTGGGGCAGATAGAGAAGTCCATTTCAGTCTGAAGGGTCTGGCGGCCCTGAGACCCTTGACGGCTTGTTGGAAGGAGACACGAATGATCTAGACATGTCGCTGGCCATGATGGGGCCTCACCTCAGGCACCACTGGCCCTTTTGGGGAGGGAGACAGCGCTGCTGCCAACTGGCCATGTCCTGCTCTCGCTGGGCCCCCCGGAGACGCCACTGACCCCACGGCAGAGACTCACCCGGTTGCCCTGGGCAGTGTTGTCCTGTGTGCGGTAGGAGACCTGGGACTTGCCATTGTCCAGGATGCGCCGGATGACAGGAATGCGGGCCACTTGCTCCCCGCCACTGACCACGTACTCGGCCTTCTCAAAAGACACTACGCCGCTGGCTGCAAGGACCCAGGGGGCAGTCAGGTGACCCGACCGGCCGTGGCCCCTTCTCAACACCCACCTGCCCTCTGGCCCTGCCCAACCCTCCTCATCCCACCGCCCTCTGGGGAGAGCAGAGCAAGGGAGTGGAAAATTCTTCCGGAGAAGAGCAAGGGGGCTGGAACAGAGTCCCACTGGCATCCTGGATGTTTTGGGGCAGAGAAAGGAGACCAGGCAGGGGCACAGCCAGAGAGGAGGCCCCGAGACCGAGGGCTGGGGCAGAGCAGGACGGAGTCCTATGTTTGCTGGAGCGGGTGGGCAGGAGGGCTCAGGGGCCCAGCAGGCCCTCTGGATGCAGGGAGGATGGTCGTCAACACCCTGGGCTTCCCAGAGGAGCAGGTAGGGAAGGCAACGAGGGTGTTGCCTGTACGGTGCCGTGTTTCCCCTCTGGACCGGCGTGGGTAAAACCAACTCCCACAGCCCTTCCTTTCCGCTGTCCGGGCATCCTGGGGACGGTCATTCAACCACCGAAGTTCGGAGACCAGAAGGGACGGAAGAACAGGGGGAGGGACGAGGGCAGCTTCAGGAGCACCCAGTGCCCTACAACAGTTAGAACAGAAGCTCCCTCATGAGTGTCACGACCAGACACTGTGCAGCGATGAACAGACACATACGCCTCTCAGGAGCCTGATGCCCATTTTACAGATGGAGAAACCAAGGCTCACAGAGGTTAAGTGACTTGCCTAGGCGACATGGCCAGGCCCCATTTCTGCTCAGACACCAGGAGGAACAAGGGTTCCCAGAGCCCCCTAAGCCCCCTGCTCGCTCTTCCCTGACCTACCTTGCTCCTTGATGATGGTGATGTTCACCAGGCGGCGGCCGAGGGTGGCGGTGCCCATGGGTACATCGATGGCCTCCACCAGCAGCTGCTTCTCGTCGTCGTCCTCGGGCCGGATGAAGAGGGGTACCCGCACGTCTACGAGCTCCACGCCCTCCTGGAACTCCACCATGCCCCGGGCATCTGGGGAGGAGTTGGCGGGGGGCAGTCAGCGGGGTAGGAGGCACAAGGGAGCAGTGCGGGGAGCCTGCCCACCTACCCTGGTCTGCGGTGATGGTGTAGTAGCCTGGGGCCACCTTGAGCTCATGGAAGGACCCCTGTTCCACGTGCTTCTCTGTCAGCTTCAGCAGGGCCTGCTTAGCGGAGCGGGGCGCCATCAGCACCGTGTCCACGATGGTGTGGTCCTGCCTGGGGCGGGGGCGGGGACAGGCAGTTAGGTGGGGATGTCAGGCCGGCCACAATGCTGGCACTTGCCCCCTATCCCCCACCCTCCTGCCTGTCCTCTCCCCAGCGTGGGACAAGATGCCTGGCAGCAAAAGGTGCGAGGTTTTTGGAACCTGGCCGTCCTGGTGGCCCAGGCTGGTCCCGCCACCTCACCCCGAGCTTCAGTCGAGCCACTCTGTCCCCTGGAGCCTCAGGGTCCTCATCTACGAAGTGGGGCCCCTCCCTAAACCCTCCCAGCCACCCCCCTTCAGGCGGGCTCTCAGGAGCAGATGCAGGACAGAAAAGATGCTATGGGTATGGGTGCTGGAGTCAGACAGGCTGGGTTCAAATCCGGGCTCTAGTTCTCAGTAACCAGGTAATTAGGGGCAAGACACTTGACCTGGGGCTGCCCCACCTGTGTGCCTTCAACTCACTTTTTCCCGGCGTTGGGCTGCTGCCTGTGGGGGACCAAGAGGGGGCTGTGAGCCACACAGTGTCTGGGGTGCAGCCATGCCCGCTTGGGGGGTGTCCCCTAGAGTGGGCAGTCTGGGCAGCTCCCCCCACCCTCCCTGGGCCCCTGGACCCACCGGAACTTGGTCTGCTGGAGCTTGTGTGAGTCTGTGATCTGTCGGTACACCTCATTCAGCTGCCAGGCAAGGAAAGACGTGAGGCTGGGGCCCTGCGTAAGCCTCCCTACTCAGAGCCATCCAGGCCCAATGCACATGGTTGGCTGGGGACATGCACAGGGGCCTGCACATTGCCTTGTCCCCTTCTGGAAACATTCATAGGATGACCCCAGGCCGGGCACATATCCAAGGAAGCCCCTCTTTCCTACTTGGAAAAATCCAGGTTCCACAGCAGCTTTCCCTCTGCTCTCCCTCTCCCGGGATCACACCCGTGCCCAGAGATCAGCTTTTCTGGCCCTTACATTCTCCTCCACCTCCTGGCGCAGCTGGTTACACTCTCGCGTGTCAGGCTTCAGTAGGTTCTCAGTGCAAAGGCGGGCGAGGCGCAGGGACAGCCCGTAGGGCACTAGGGACAGGCAGGGATGGGGGTCATCAGCCCCCCGCGTGGCAGGCACCCTGGGAGACCCTCCAGGAGCCATGCTAAGATGGTGGGGGGCGGGGGGACCGGCGGGCCGAGATCCTGAGGTCCAGAGCCCCATCAGGAAGGGTCGAAGCCAAGCCCCTGTCTGCACCCAACACCCAGAGAGAACAGGAATGCTGTGACTGGAACCCTGGGACGGTGGGGAATGGGCCCCAGGCCCCAAGCCCCAGGGACACTGCGGGGAGCCACGGTGCCAAGCTCCCATCTTCACCCAGCTCTGTGGGGTTGGTGCTGGAGGCGTGGCTGGCAAAGCCGGGCCGCTGCACGTTGTTGGTGATTTTCCATCGGACCATGTCCCGTCCCTTGAGGTTCCCACTGCGAAGCATGGGTGTGTCCAGGTGGTCCGAGGCCATCAGGTTCTCCCGCAGCATGTAGTGGTCCTCCTTGAAGCCCACCATGTGACCTGCGGACGGGGTCCTCCACATGGGGCCTCACCCTAGACCCTCCCCGCCACACCCACTCTGGGTGGGACCCCAAACCGCCTGCCTCTGTTCCAGACTCAGCCCCTACTTCCCCTCCACCCTATCCAGGAGAAGGGGCGGTCGAAGCCCTTGCCACCCCCGCAGGTGCTAGGCCAATACCTCGGTTGCAGCAAGGGAGAAGTGCCAGGCAAGCCTAGAAGACAGGGTGGGGGGTGGATAAGGGCTGGGACGGCTGCCTCAGCCCACAGAAGCCCCTCCATGCCAATGGTCCAGTGGGGCAACAATGACTTCCCCAGATACCAGGATATCACGGAAGTTGAAGGGATCTAGGTGTGGAGCATACTGGGTGAGTACAGAGGGTGATGAGGGCAGAGGATTCCCAAAGTTTGTGCCATGGGACCCTGGTCCTGCCAGAATGTCTCTTAAGTAAAGGATCTATGATCGAATCCATTTGAGAAGCACTGATGTCATTCCCCATGCCATTCTTAGGGTTTCGCTATGCAGACAACTAGATCAAAGGCTCTGAGATATCCTGCAGAGAAGAAGCCTCTTTCTCAAATGTACTTGATCGTAGATGTCTTTTTCTCTGTAATATATATTAATATCCCACAATCCTGGGGCTACTACATGGTGTCTTCTCTGTTCCTACAATTCAGTATTCTGTGCTGGGCCATCCTCCATGCTTTCCTGCCTTTTTAGCTCTTCTGCCCGGTGAGACTATCAGCTCCTGGCAGGCAAGGCCCTCTTTTCCCTGTTGGCTCCTTCGCATGAGCCTGACCTGAGAACAAGTCGTCTCAGGTCCTGGCCGCTGATGGTTGGCAGAGGCAAAGGGCTGCGGTGGGGCGGCCACTAGAGTTGGGCAGAAGACGTGAAGTCACCTGGCCTCTGTCACCTATGAGGACCTTGGTGGGGTGGGGCCCTCAGGTGAGTGGGGCCCCTGGGGTAAGGGGAGATACTGGTGGGAGGTGGGAACCTGGTGGGGGATGGGAACTCTGGCGGGGGTGGGGACCCTGGCTGGGGTAAGTGGGGACCCTGGCAGGGGATGGGGCCCCTCATGGGGGATGGGACCCCTGGGGTAAGTGGGGACCCGGTGGGGGATGGGGCCCCTGGGGTGAGCAGGTCTCCTTGCGGGGGGGCGGGCCCAAGGAGCCCACCTTGCAGCAGGCGCAGTACTTCCAGCACAGCAGCAGCAGCAGTGCCAGGAGCAGCAGGAGGAAGAGGAGCAGAGGTATGAGCCACCAGAAGGACCTGGGTGGGCAGTCTGTGGAGGCAGGGGAGGAAGAGAAGGAGGGGGGCACTGCCCACTCCCCACTGGAGCCTGCCAGGCCACCCACCAGCCCTGTCTGCCAGCTCACCCTTCTTCTTGTGCACCAGGACGGTGCTGTTGGGCCCGGGGGCGCCGTCACCCTCCACCGTGTAGCTGTACGTGCAGTCATCCTCTTCGTCCCGGAAGGAGCAGTGCTCCACCACCTCCTCTGCTGTGCCCATGGACGGTCAGTAGGGCACCCCGGGCCTGGGGAGGCGTTCCCTACCCTGGGGCCCACCGTGCCCACTGTGGGGGGGAGGCCCCTTCCCGGGGGAGAACGCAAGGTCCGGGGCACAGAGCCAGGCCGAGCTGGGGCGCTGCCCTGTCCCCGCCCAGGAGCATCTAAAGGCTGCCAGTCTGTGCCCCCTCCTCCCCATCCTGGGTGTCACTCAGGAACCTGGCTTCTAGAACATTTATCTGACCCAGAGGAGAGGAGAATGTGCGCCCCCCTGGGCCAGTTATGTGTCTCTACTGTGTTCGGATCCCGGCCTGGCTATCTGCCCCCCGCCTAAGCCAGGTTCCCCCTCCCTGGACTCTTAGGTCCCTACTCAGCTGGGCCTCCTGCCAGGGTCTGTGGGTCCTGTCTGTGTTCTGTGATCTCTCCCCAGTCTTCAATCCCTTCCCTCGCTCTGGTCTGCATGACCTCAACCTGGATTGTGAGCCCTCTGCCCAGCGCCACTGCCCTGCCCAGCTGAGTGACACCCCCTACCCACCGGATGCCCTCCGCCTAGGCTATTAGCAGCCCCGTCCTCAACTCTGCCTCACACCTGTCTTGAGCTCATCCACCATCTTGACCTTGAAGCCGCACTCCTCGCACATACGGCCCTTCTTCTCACCAGTGCCCCAGGCTTGGCACTGCACACAGGAGCGCAGGTCCTCGCAGAGGCCCAGGCGTATCTGGGCGGGAGAGGAGGAGAGATGGGGACTGTGGCTCCCTTAGCCTAACTCACACCCCTGGCCGGATCCTCTGTCATCAGGCTCAGTGCCTCCTGTCGGCCCTGCCCGGTGCCTGAATTTCCCATGCCCACACCCCAGTGATTTGGGCCTCACCGCTGAGTAGTTGATCTCACAGATGGTGTCCGTGTAGAGCGACTGCTGGTTGCAGTGGCAGCGGCCACACTCGCAGTAGCCACGCCCGTTACAGATGCCCTAGAACAAGAGGAGGCACCAGTGAGGCACCAGTGCCCCCATCCCTGCCCGAGAGGGCAGGTGTTTCTGACTACGGTCCCTTCGCCACCCTGCCCTCCCTCCTTGTGCCCCCGCCTACCCCACTGCTGTCAATGCAGGTGGCATTGCTGAGAGGGCAGTCACAGCTCAAGCCTGTCCAGCCGGGCTCACATGCGCACTGGCCCATGGAGCAGCGTCCCCGGTCTACAGAGAGTGGGGAGGGAGAGGAGAGGAGAGCCACATTCATTCCTGCAGTCCAGGCTGCCCATCTGCCCGGGAGGGCCTGTGGCTGCTCAGCCTGAGCTGGGATTTCTCCAGTTGGGGGCTGATCCCTCTCTTCCTCACTTTCTTGGAATCTCCTTCCCTCCATCTCTCTGGTTCCATTCTGTCTTTTACTTTCCGCTCTATAGCCAGAGTCATTATCCCAAAACACAAATCCAATTGTGTGTCTCTCCGGTTTAAGAACTCCTAATGAGTTCTGGCCAATGCAATAAGGTAAGAAAAAGAAATAGCACATGTAAGTATTGGAAAGGAAGAAATAAAACTGCTGTTATTTTTTTTTTAAGATTTTATTTATTTGACAGAGAGAGAGATCACAAGCAGAGAGAGAGAGAGAGAGAGAGAGAGGAGGAAGCAGGCTCCCTACCTAGCAGAGAGCCCGATGTGGGACTCGATCCCAGAACCCTGAGATCAGGACCTGAGCTGAAGGCAGAGGCTTAACCCACTGAGCCACCCAGGCAGCCCCAAAACTGCTGTTATTTTAAATGTTAGGAACAAAGGGTGCCTGGCTGGCTCAGTCAGTGAAGCATGGGACTCTTGATCTCAGGGTTGGACATTCAAGCCCCACATTGGGTGTAGAGATTACTTAAAAATAAAATCTTAAAAAATATATATTAGGGACATGTTGCAAAATAGCAAAAAGAAACTGCAGATAAGTTACTAAATTTTGTAAGTGTTTTAAAAAAAATTTCTAAGTTATAATGCCCTTTTTTTTCCTTAAGATTTCATTTGAGAGAGAGACAGAGAGAGCATGGGCAGAGAGGAGGGGCAGAGGGAGAAGGACAAGCAGACTCCCTGCTGAGCAGGGAGCCCAACACAGGGCTCTATCCCAGGACCGGAGATCATGACCTGAGCCGAAGGCAGATGCTTAACTGACTGAGCCACTGAGGTGCCCCATTCATAAGTGATTTTACCAAAGCAGCTGGATACAAGATTAACATACAAATAGCTTGAAAATGAAGTCAAACCCTCCAGTGACTCCCTTTTGCCGAAGGATGAAGTCTACAATCCTTAAACCAGAATAAGCGTTGATTAACCACAGCCTGCAGGCCAAATCCAACTCACTACCTACTTTTGCTGAAGTTTTATTGGAATGGAGCCACATTCACTCGTTAATGTATCGTCTGTCACTGCTTTCTGCTTCAGTGGCAGAGCTGAGTAGTTGTGACGGAGACCATATAGCTCAAAAAGCCAAAAATATTTCCTTTCTGGCCCTTTAAGAAAAGTTGGGACTAGGCTAGAACTGGAACCCACAGCCCCGCATTCTGGTCCTGCCTCCTTCTCCAGCAGCCTCTACCTCCCCTCATCTCCCACAGCTCTATCTGTGCCAAATGTCTGCCTTCCTCCGGATACACCCAGTTCTCCTTTCCTTTCTTTGAGTCCACTCCCATGTGGAGGACTGAAGGGGAAACATGACAGACAAAGGCAAGAAGGGAGGAAAGGTAGGAAAGCAAGGGCTTGACCTCCAGGGGCAAGAAGATGGTTGGGGCTAAGTAAGCATGTGAGGGCTGGATTTTTGTTGATTCTCCTCCATTCAAGAACCCAATCCTTCCTGGGGCCTCTGTATGGCTTCCGTGACCCCTGCCTTGCTCGGAAACCCTGGCTGCAAGGCACTATGGTGGGTGCAGGCCCCCAGGTCCTGCCTGCTGCAAACTTGCCATCTCCTGGGAGAGGGAGGACAGTCGCGGCACTGGGACCCGCCCTCATTGGACATTGAGGGTGGGCAGAGACGGCAGGACCTCAGGGGGAGCAGTCTGAAACATGAACTGGGGCCTTGGGCATCAAGTTTGTAGAGCGGAGGGAGGTCCAGGTTGGGATGGACTTAGGGGAGGTACCTGGGGAGCCCTGGGAGGGGCTAGGTCCAAACTTGGGGATTCTGACTCCTGGCCTGGCTCTCCCCCCAGGTCAGGATACCCAGGTCGCCCTTGGTGTCCCGAGCCCCCCAACACTGGCCACAGGGGCCGCTGAGCTCACCGTTACACAGGACCCCGGAGGCACGGGGACACTGGAAGTTGTCATACTCGCAGAACGGACCCTCGTAGCGGCCTTCTCCATAGCAGATGCAGTGGCCGCACTGGCACTCGCCACGGCCGGAGCACGGCTTGTCCTCGCCCTCCCGCAGGCAAGGCTTTATGTCGCTCAGTGAGCCCGTGGAGCAGCTGCAGGTCTTGCCGCTCCTGCGGAAGGAGCCAGTTACTTCCCCACAGCCTGAGAGGAAGGCTGGGGCTTTTGCCGACCCATTATACAGATGAGGAAGCTGAGGCTTTGAGAGGGCCTCCGAGGGTCCACGTCACACAGACAAGCAGTGCCTGCCTGAGCTGAGACCCAAATGCCGGTCCCTCCCAAGACCCTCCCAGCATCCCTTCCTCAAGTCACCATGGGCTTGTTCAGTGTCTTGTAGCTTTAAAAGCCCTCACTACCCTTACGGTGAGCTTGTTTCTTTCTTTCTTTCTTTTTTTTTTTTTTTAATATTTTATTTGTTTATTTGACAGACCGATCACAAGTAGGCAGAGAGGCAGGCAGAGAGAGATGGGGGAGCAGGCTCCCTGCTGAGCAGAGAGCCTGATACGTGGCTCCATCCCAGGACCCTGAGATCATGACCCGAGCCAAAGGCAGAGGCTTTAACCCACTGAGCCACCCAGATGCCCCAATGAGCTCATTTCTGATCAGATCCCATGTACACGTGGTTCAGAAGGCTATCGCAGCGGGATGGAGTGAAAAGCAAGGGTCCCTCTCGTGTCTGTCCCTATCAGGCAGTCCCCACACCCTGCTGGCCACCACTGTCCTGATCCTCGCACCTCTTCCCGGAAACATCCTTTATGTCTACGCGTTTCGAAGCGCGTTGAGCTGGAGCTGCCTCACTATGGAGCCAGACCCTTTCCAAGCCTTTCTGTGACCCGCAATCCCGCCCTCAGCCGGGCGTCCACCGTGCGGCCGACGTCAGAGCCTTGCAGCGGCCGGGGCCTCCCGCGCACTCACCAGCCCTCGCTGCACACACAGTGCCCGCACATGAAGTCTCCATGGTAGTTGCAGCGAGCTGAAAGCTCCTCTTTTTGCTGGAAGGAGATCATGGCGGGGTGTCACAGGGCCCCTGGACCCTTCCGCTGCCTCCGCCCCTCAGGGCACCCCGCAAGGCAGACACAGCCCCCTGGAGGCTCTGCTTCACCCCCCCCGGGGCCTCCCCGGGCAGGGAGCCGGCCCTTCCCTCCCGCCTGGCAGGGCCGTATCGCACCAGCTCGCACGGGCACACGTCGCAGATGATGCCAGCATCCATCCAGAGGCCGTCCGAGAAGGAGGGCTTCAGATGGATGATGCCCTTCCGGTCCTCCTCTCCCAGCTCGCACACGTGGGTCCCGTCCACCGCCTCCATAGCCCGCAGCTGCACCTGGTAAGTGCCCTGCAAAGACCCCAGCCACATGGACGTTGATGAGAGGCACCTGTGGCCCATTCCCTCCTCCAGGCAGCCCTCCGAGCTCTGTGATTAATCCTCATTCCGCAGACGAGGGCAAGCTAGAAAGGCGCCCAGGTCATCCAAGTGGTTAACCCAGGGGGCTTCGAACCCAGGCCTGTCTGACTCGGAAGGCACCACTCTTTTTTACTATTATTATTTAAACCAATCTTTTTTTTATTAAGTAATCTCTATGCCCATGACCCCGAGATCAAGGGTCAGCCAGGAGCCTATAAAGGCGATGCTCTTGACCCCTGCTTGGGCAGACACACCCACCCCCTTTTCAGCGCCTTGTGCTCATCCTCCCCTACCCAAAACCCCACAGAGGCCTACCGGTATCCCCCGCGTGATGCGAAAGGACCCAGTATCTGTCTTCTGAAACATAGAAGAGGTGACCTCTGTCCGCAGGCCTCGGGGGCTTTCCAGGGCCCGGATGTCCAGGTTGGAACGAATGAGCTGGAGGAGGACAAGCAATGAGCGGTCTGGGGGGGGGCCCGGGCTCACCCACTCTGGTCTGGCTGACCTCCCCCCACTCCGCATGGAGAACTGAGGGGGATTGGGGGGGTCAGGGTGGCAGAGCCCACAGGAACTTGGGGCCAGGCTAAGGGAGGCATCTCAGGGTCCCCAGGGAACAGCAGAGCCCTTCCTCACATGCCTGGCCTACTTCTCAACCTCCACCTGAGCCATCCTTTGCCCACTCTGCCTCCTCTCCAGCCCTGCCCCTGAAGGTCTCAGACCAGGGCCGCGCTCGGGCCTCACCTGGAAGGCTTCGTGCAGCAAGTCCACGATGTTGGAGGAGTCCTCCTGGAGCACTCCCAGCGAGGAGACAGGGAAGTACGTGTGCAGCTTCTGTGGGGGAGAGTGCCAGCCCGGGGCTAAGCCCTCCACAAGTCTCACCTCACTGAATGTGGACAGGAGCTTTGCGGTTATCCTCCCTGAAGGCCTGGTGTGCTCTGGAGCCTGCCCGCCTCACCCCTACTCTCTTGGGAGTGGGGTGGGGGGATGGGCACCTGAACTCCCCTTCCCATTGGGGTCCACCCTTGGGGCAGCCAAAAGCTTTGGGAAGGAAAGAAGGAAGAGCTGGAGGGAGGGGAAGGAGGGAGGGAGGACGTCTGAGAAGTCCCGTGCAGCCCCCTCCTGCCCCCCTCCGGCCGGGGGGAGGCCTCAGCCCCGCACCTCATAATAGCTGTAGGAGTAGTTGGTGACAGCGAAGATGGGGATGATGTTGTGTTTGCCCAGCAGGCGCACCAGGGTGGGCACGGATGGGTAGTCCTGCGTCTTGTACTGCGTGTAGGTGCCCGAGGAGTCCAGGTGGCATGCCTCGTCGTTGCGGCTCAGGATGCCCGCCAGCACGTTGGCGCCATCCGCCTCGTAGTGGAAAGCGGACTCGGTGGAGAACACTAGCACGTGCGTGCTGTCAGGGCGCCAGCCAATGTCCCTCTGGGAACGACAAGGAGTGGGGAGGCCCGTCAAGCAGGCCGCCTGCTGAGGATGTCCGTCGCAGTGCAGAGTGTGACAGAGAGAACAGGACCCAGCACCCATCAGGGACCACGTGGCCAACAGCCCATGGGTGGCAGAAAGCCGCGACCAGGATTGGGGACGGATGCGGACGGGCTCTGTGCACACAGTGGTCACCACGCAAGACCCGAGCCAGCGTCATCTGACTGGCCTCCCAAGGCTTCATAGTTACTCTGCGGGAATATTTCCTTCTTTCTTTTTTTAAATTTGATTTTTTAAAAATTATTTTTATTAACATATAATGTATTATTTGCCCCGGGGTACAGGTCTATGAACCATCAGGCTTACTTACACATTTCACAGCACTCACCATAGCACATACCCTCCCCAACATCCATAACCCAACCACCCTATCCCTCCCCCACCTCCCCCCCAGCAATCCTCAGTTTGTTTCGTAAGATTAAGAGTCTCTTATGGTTTGTCTCCCTCCCTATCCCATCTTGTTTCATTGATTCTTTTTAAAATATTTTTTTATTTATATATTTGGCAGAGAGAAAGAAACAGTGAGAGGGAACACAAGCAGGGGAAGTGGGAGAGGGAGAAGCAGGCTTCCTGCCGAGCAAGGAGCCCCATGCGGGGCTTGATCCCAGGACCCTGAGACCATGACCTGAGCCAAAGGTAGCTGCTTAACAACTGAGCCCCCCAGGAGCCCCTGTGGAAATATTTCAACTGCATGGGAAAATGCATACATGCAACTGGTGAACAAAAAGTCTGGTTGGGGCGCCTGGGTGGCTTAGTCTTTTGAGCATCTGTCTTTGGCTTGGGTCATGGTCCCAGGGTCCTGGGATGGAGCCCCACGTCAAGCTCCCTGCTCAGCGGGGAGCCTGCTTCTACCTCTCCCTCTGCAGCTCTCCCTGGTTGTGCTTTCTCTCTTTCTCCCAAATAAATAAATAAAATATTAAAAAAAAAAAAAGAAAGAAAGAAAAGACCAGTTAAAATAGATACAGCTGTGCATGGCAGTTAGAAAAATATACGGATAATCTGGAAAACTATGTATTACAAGTGAAAGTGCTTGTGATAGTGTTAATTTAAAAAAAAGCAAGTTTCAGAATTATAAGTATACTGATATCAGCTATATAAAGTACGGAAAAGTGTGCAAAATATGCTGGTGGGGTATCAAGTGACTGGCTGGCTGGTTGTGATGAAATTATGGACAATTTCTGCTCTCTGTTTTCCAAGTTGTTTATACGATGGGTATATTATTTTCAAAATGAAAAAATCACCGTGCACATAAAAACTACCCTCTTCAGCTGTCCAGTGCAGTTGGAGACTGTGGGTCCTGGAAGACTGGCATTAACAGGGAGATTGGGGGTAGGTTGGCTTCAGGGCACGGAAGATTCCAGAACCCCAGAATTCACTTCTGCTTTGCTGGTTGGTACAAAAGCAGACTGACTGCTCAGGCTGGGGGGGCCTTGGATCCCAGCACGTCTCAACCTGGCTTGTAACTGAGGGCTCCCTGGAGGGTCTGAACTTGTCTTTGGGCATGGGGGTCATTGCCTGGCAACAGAGCCGGCAGGTGGGCAGCTCATGCCCTTGCAGAGAAGCACAGCCCTGGTGTGGGTGGGCAGGGCTGTCCCTGACACTCACCGTGCACACGGCCACCTGCAGGATGGCATCAAAACCTCCTTCAGGAGCATCCAGGTTGCCTGAGATCCGCTCCCCTAGCAGTTTATCCCGAAACTCGTCCAAGTTGTTTGTCAGGCTGATGACATTCTTGAAGGAGAAGGGGGGGTCGCTGTTGGGCCAGGGCTCCTTTAGCCTGGACAGAGGTGGAGGGAGAGGGAGACAGAGTCAAGGGAGAAGACCCTGTGCCCACCCTGTGTCCACCCTCTCTAAAAGTGTCCCACTGGCCTGCTTCGACCAGAACACTTGTAAGTGCCCTGGTTGAGAGGAGGTGAGCCCTGTGGCTGGGACACCTGTCTACTCGGTCACTCAATCCTTTTTTTTAGACTATTTTATTTTGTTTTACTTTATTTTATTTCATTTCATTTCATTTATTCAACTTGGCTTTCTTCTCAGCTTTACTGAGGTAGAACTGACAAAGCTGTAATATGTTTAAAATGTACAATGTGATGATTTAATATACAGAAGTCCCCCCTTATCTGTGCTTTCAGACACAACTGAAACTACAGTCTGGAAGCAAATGAAAAATACGGAACGCTTCACGAATGTGCATTGTCATCCTTGCGCAGGGGCTATGCTAATCTTCTCTGTATCGTTCCAATTTTAGTATATGTGCTGCTGAAGCGAGCACTTTATTTTACTTTTTAGAAAGATTTTTATTCATTTGAGAGCAAGCAAGCGAGAGGTGGGGTCATAGGGAGAGGGAGGAACAGACTCCCAGACTGCCCGCTGAGCAGGGACTCTGACACAGGGCCCGATCCCAGGACCCTGGGATCATGACCTGAGCCGAAGGCAGAGGCTTCACCAACTGAGCCACCCACGCGCCCCTCAGTCACTCACTTCTCAGGCCTCATGTCTGTCTGAGGGACACTGACTTTGTCCACAAACTTGCCAAATCCGATAGTGTAGTCATCAGTGAGCGTCTTCAGGACCTGAGCTGGATGTCAACAGGAAAAAGAGGGTACGACTGAGCCCCAACACCCCCACATCAGCAGAGGGGGCCAGGGGCTGGCTCGGGAAGGAGGAAGAGGGAAAATAACCTCCTGTCAATACCTTGTGTGTGAACATCAGTTCAGGCTCACAGTAGCCCTTCTCCCTGTTCACAGATGAGGGAAATGGCACTCGGGGTGGGGGGCAGAGTCATGCATGGAGCAAGGGAGGGGGCAGCCAGGGTACTGGAGAAGAGCTGGGTCAGAGTCTTGGCCTCATGGCCCCGGGTATGCTCCCTGTAGGGGCCGGATAGTCCTGTTGCCCACGTAGCTGGGCCTTTTCCAAAGTCCTGAGTGGTTAGTGGGGTCTGGCCAGGACTCCTGCCTCAGAATGGGAGGGGAGGGAATTCTTGGGGTGCTCAGATATCCTATCCTTCCTTGTGGCATGGCTGTAGCCATCCTGAGCCCTGGCCCTCCGAGCAGGGGCCAGCCAGCAAGATGAGGCCACCCTCTCCGCTCCCCACCCCACTGTCCTCTATGCTGGCCCAGCCATACCCAGTCTCTCCCCCATCTGCTTGAGGTTGTCCAGATCGTCGGACATGGAGTAGGAGAAGTCCATGAGGATGTACAGGTCCATCGGGCTCTTCTCGGGCTCGAACACCTTCATCTCAAAGTGCTGCTCCTCGCCTGGCCGCAGCCGGACTCGTAGCCCCTGGGGCGACACCTGGCTGCGCTGCAGGTTGGTGTTGATCTGGGCGTCCTGTGTCCGGGGGAGGGGGACAGGGGAGGCTGGAGGGTCACTCCAGAGATCTGATGGGGAGCCTCTCAGCCCAGCCAGCAGACACGGCGGACCCCTATAGACAGCCGGCCTCGAGCATGGGCCGGCCTGCTTCCCTTGACCCCCACTCCGGGCACCTCTGTGATCTCGAAGCTGTTCTCCATGACCACCAGGCTCTCCCACCGGCAACCGGAAGCCAGCAGCTCTGCCTGGGTGTTGCAGCGCCGCTCCTTGAACATCTGGCCAGAGGAGATGGGGTCAGGGCGATCAGTGCCCATCCCCCGGCTGTCCCAGCCCTGGATCTCTCCTGACCCTTGCCTGTTCCACACCCGCCTGGCCTGAGGCTGGGCTGAGGGTGCGGCGGGTGTGGACTGGGCCAGAGCGAGGGGTGGGGCACGGCGGGGTGGGGCAGCCGCGTTGGGACTGGGCTCAGGAAGGGGGCAGGCGACGGAGGCTCACCTCGTCCGTGCAGTAGGCGCATTCCCTGCCCACGCGGATGCACTCGGTGCAGCTCTTCACCTGGGCCCTCTTGCAGCGGTTCGCTGGAAGGCAGAGACGAGCAGACCCAGTGAGATGAACCTCACCAGGGGCCAAGCCGTTTCCCGCGTGCACTGGAGAGAGGCAGGGGTTCTCTCCCGCTTTATGGAGGAGGAAGCAGAGGCCGGTGGGTAGGTGGTCTGTCCCCCTGGCATGGCCGGGGCAGAGCTGGGTCTCACACCTGAGCTTTCCACTCAAGTCCGGATGGTGCAGGGCTGGCCCATTTGCTGGTGGGGACACCCTGGCCATCCCTCCCCTGCTCCTCCGGGGCACAGGGGACCGTGTCTGTCTTGATTATTGCTGTTTCCAGTCCCCAGCCCAAGCCCCGCACACAAAAAATTGTTAGTAAATGAGTGAAAGAAAACTCTGGAGTTTCCCCAAGGGTTACAGGGATTCCCTTTGGTTCTCTTCAGTTAAAATCACAGTGAGGGGGATGCCTGGGTGGCTCAGTTGGTGAAGCATCTGCCTTGGGCTCAGGTCGTGACCCTGGAGTCCTGGGATCGAGCCCCGCATTGGGCTCCCTGCTCAGTGGGGAGTCTGCTTCTCCCTCTGCCCCTTGCCCCCAATTCATGCTCACAGGTGCTCTGTCTCTCTCAAATAAATAAATAAAATCTTAAAAAAAAAAAAAAGAAAATTTGTAATAAAAAAAATCACAGTGAGGACCTACTGTGTACACTCAGTGTACACGGTGGGTGGCCTCCTGGGCTCCAGGCGATGGTGGGTGGTCAGTGTTTAACACTGGCTCTGGTGGGGGCAGGGAAGCCCTGCCTTGCGGCATCGCCCATGTTCCCGTCGTGGCCTATCCCAGGCGCCCCAACACAGCCTGTTCTGAAGGCAAAATTTCCATGGTAGGAGCTGACCGGAAGAGAGTCATGGGTCTCTTTCTCCAAGTTCCCATGAGAAACACCCTGCGAGTGCCTCAGATCGCCGAGTGGGCGGTTTCCTCCAGGCTCTGGGCCTCATGCTCCCCAGCCCTCGAAGGGGGCCCTGGCTGTTTGTTGAGTGGCCAAGTGAGCGTCAGGGGAAAGACACCCTGTGGCTGGCCTCCGTGGAAGGGCAGTACCTCGAAAGGGGAGCCCCTGCCCAGAAGGGTGCTGCAGACGTGTGCCAGACCCACTCACCCATTTCCTCAGGGAAGCTGGCGCCCAGCAGGACAGCCAGCAGCAGCAGCCTGCTCCAGCAGCTGGGACGGGGTCCTGCCATCCTCTTCCTCCTGTGTAACAGCCAGAGCTGACGGAAGACGTTCCACAGCCCGCGGCCCTGCCAGTCACAGCTCTAGTGCTCCCACCACACAGGGCTGGAAATTGAGGCTCAGACAGTGTCAGTGATGTTCCAAGGCTACCCAGCCTGCAAACGGTGGGGTCCAGGTATCCCCCCCCGCCGCAGCTCCTCTTGCCGTCTCTGGACCCGTGGCTAAGATGCGCCGTGGGTCTGCACCCTGCCCCGGGACGCCCCACCCTGGCATCATTGCGGACTGGGGGCTCTGAGCGTGTCCCCATGCCAGGGCTTCTATGCTGATCTCGTGGAGAGCAGGGCGAGGCTTATTCTGCCTTTGCCTTTCAGATCCCAGTGGGCCTGGGTCAGGTCTCGCCCAACAGGAGGCCACCCCTCGAGGGCCTGGCTTTACCCTCCCATCCTCTGCTTGTTGTGGCCTCATTGCCCTTTGATGAAGGTGCTGTGGTCGGGGGAGGGGAGCCCTCCCAGGATCTGGAGCCTGCAGAGGGGAGATGGGAGCTGGTGGCGCCCAGCTTGGCTCTGCAATGACACCCTGGCCCCTCACTGGTGGGTCCCCTGCCCAACCCCCTACCCTGCCTGCTCCAGAGTTGAGTTTTCGGGGTCCCTGAGCAGATCATCCTTTCAGAAGTCGGCCTGGAGCTACATTACATGCCCCTCCTGCCCTCTTTCTCTCTCTCTCTCTCACACATACACACACACTGTGCCAGTCTCCCCAGGAAGGCGCCTGCCTCTGGCTCACTACTACCCCGTCTCAGCTCCTCAGTGACCTTCGGGGTAGGCACTGACAACCCTGAGGACTTTTAAAAGACGGGTGGCCTGCTGCTTGGGAAGAGAAGGAACTGGGCAGAGCCACCAGCCCTGCAGAGCGGAGGACAGATGTCAGAGCCCTGCTTCTTTGTCCAGGACCAGTTCTCCCGCATGCTCACGGGTTCCTTCTCCTGGGACCACTCCTCAGTCCCTGGCCTGTGGGCAGTAGCAGCTAAGGCCCCCCCATTAAACTTCCCTCTAAGAGTTGGGGAAGCCTGTGGAAGGGGGCAGGAAGGTACTACCTCCCTCCCTCTGGGGCATGTCCCTCCCAGGAGGCCACCAGCAGCCCCCAAACATCCAGAGGCTGGGGAGGAACTGCCATTTCAGAGGGGCCTAGGGTAAGGAAGCCCTGAGCCAGCCAAGGCGGGGTGGCTTTCTGGGGGAAATGACTTTCCTGCAGCCTTGGGGTGTAGGCACCACACCCACACGCTGCACAATACGGGCCACAGACTTGGACCTCCCCGGGGCACCATTATGCATGCAGGTACCAGCACTGGAGGGCCAAGCCCTGCTCTTACTCATCCTCCCGGGCTGGGCACAGAGCAGGCTCGTGCCCAGCACTTCACCCACGTGATGGCCGTGTCATCTACACAGGAACCGTGTAGGGGATGACCATGATACCCCTATTTCTCAGATGAGGAGGTGGAGAAGGGGCACAAGGCTGCTGGGGCGCCTCATCCTGCAGCCAGCAGTGGGGGAGCCCGGATGGGACCAGGGCAGTCCAGACCCGCCCCCATTTAACCTCTTTGTCATCCTCAGAAACCCTAAGATGGCAGTTAGGGGGCGAGCTATGCACTCAACAGTGTTTTTGTTTGACTCCAACTTGGGTTTAAAAAGTTTAAAAACAAGGAGATTTCACAGAAAAGTTAGGCTGATGGGTTTCCTGGAGGTTGTGGCCACAGGCTGGGCCAGGTGCTCAGGACATGAACACTCCCGGCCACCCTGGGGGCTCTCCCGGAACCAGGCTTCCTCCCATCCCACAGGACCCCTGCTTTCCCATCTCCTGGCCCCTCGCAGCTCTGTCACACAAGGAAATCGGGGCCCAGGAGACAGGCACGCTTTCCCCACTGTCCCCCAGCTGTCTCTCTTCTGTCCCCCGCTGTCCCCCAGCTGTCTCTCTCCTCTCAGCCCTCAGGATGGAGAGAGACCCTCAGCCTTCACTTCCAGCTCTGTCAGATCCTTGGGCTCAGGGTGTGGCAAGGCCGTGCTAGGGTGGGAAGGAGCCCAGCCCTGCTGTCAGAAGCCATCGGAAGTCCCTGCACCGCAGCCAGAGGGCCACCAGGGGCTGAGTGGGAAAGGGGCAAGCCCTTGACGAGGATACAGTAGTGGGCATAGCCCCCACGGCTGCTGAATGAGGTCAGGAGAGCTTCCTGGAGGAAGCATGTCCTGAGCCGACTTTGGGAGGAGGGCAGGCATACACTTGGCCAAAAGTAGAGTCAGGGACTCCCCAGACCCCAGCCCCTGCTGTGCTTGGTCAAGAGGGGAGTCAGGGACTCCCCAGGCCCCAGACGGAACGGCGGCACTGTACACAGCAGGCAAGGCCTCGCCAAACATGGAGAGCCTTTGCCCATAGGTGGCTGCTCCCCCACCTTCTTTGCAAACCCCAGTGGGCCCAGCCCAGTAGGCCTGCCAGCCACTGCCTTGCGTCTGCCCACTTCTGCCGCACACCCACCCAACCCTCAGGCCTCTCTCCCTAGCCCAGAGGTCTCAGGGCCAAGAGCCTTAGCCAACCCGATCACACGGCCCCTTTGCGCCGAGCTGCCCCCAGGACACACCTTGGCAGCCCAGGCAGCTGCCCCGGGCAGGATGGGGCCAAGGTCTGGCAGCCTTTACGGGAAGAGGAAACAAAAGGCACCCGGCCCTCCCAAAAGGGTCCCTGGATGTGCTGGCCGGGCTGCGGTGGGCACTCACTTTCCCCTCCTCGCCTCCAGGCTCCCAGAACGGACGCCCAACTCAGGCGGCCCGGGGCACTGGAGGGGCGGACGGGGTGCAGCCCGGAGACCACCCCGCCCCCGACTGCCCCGCCGTCCCGCCCCCCTGCCCCGCGCCCAAGCCCCCCGCGGCCGGACCTACCTCGGCGCGGACTGGCCCCCTCCCGGCGCTGGGCTCCGCTCGGCCGCTCCGGTGGCAGCGCGCGGGCGAGCCGGGACTGTCCGGAGGGCGGGTGGCGGGGAGGGCGGGCGGCGGCCGCGGGGAGGGGACCGCTTTATGGGGCGGGCGGCAGGTGGGAAGGAGGCACTGGTGAGTCAGGCCCGCCGCATTCCTGCGCGCGGCGCGCACCTGTCGGGGCAGGAGCCCGGGCGCCGCCGCCGCCGCCGCCGCCGGGCCCGCCCCCCGGAAAAGGCTGCGGCTCCCTCGGCGCCCAGCCCCTGCGCCCCGACCGACGGCGGCGGGGGCGGAGGAGGAGCCTCCCGCATCTCTCCAGGCCAGCCCCGGGCGCCGCGCCTCCCCACCCCTCCAGGCTGCGGAGTCGGGTACCCGGCTGCCTCCGGCCCGGCATGGCCTCTTAGCCCCCGGCCCGGACCGCCGCCCACCCACCTCCGGACTCAAGGCGGTGAGCAGCCCCGCTGCCCCGACGGCCATCGACCGTGCGCGTGGCTTTCCTCCGGTCCGGCGCGGGACGCAAGCCCGGGGATCCCTGAACCCGATCTGTCATTCCCTGGGTCCGCTCGGCCTCACCCGCCTCCACGTGTGTCCAGAGGGAGATCCCAGTAAGGACTGCTTCCCTGAGTGTCCTCAGGCAAGGCACTTAAACCTCCTTGACGTGTGAGTAATGCCCGTGAAGTGGCCGGCACTGACCTGACATGGAGTAGGCACTCAAATTGTTACAGTTGTTCTCCACAAGCCGGTTCACAGATCTGACCCCCGCGGTCCTCTGCCTACGATCTTTCAAGTGCTGCACGTGTTCAAGCTGGAGCCTCTGTAGTTGCTTTAGGACCCCTGCTTGGTCTACTTCTCTAGCCCCACCTGCCAACAGGTGCCACACAATGCCCCATGGCTAGCAGCCCCAATGCGCGGGCTGTGCAGCTTGGAGCCCCCGTGCTTCTGCTGGAGGCCAGGTCCTCTGCTCAGGATGTCTCTATTCTCCTACCCCTGCCCCCAACCCACCTGGTTTATCCTTCTTTAACTGGAAGGCCTGGTGCTGATGTCACGTGCTCCAGAGAGCCTCCTTGACCTCCTTCACCCTTGGTGGGATTATGTGCCCCTGTAGCCACCCCCCACCATGGCTTTTTCTACTCATTTGCCACACTGGTTTGAAATGATGTTTAGGGGTTTCTCTTCCCCACTAGACTGTGAACCCTGAGAAGGATGTTCTCTAGCCCATCTTTTTATTTCCAGCGCCTAGCACAGTGCCTGGCAGATAGCAGGTGCTCAGTGAAAGTGCGCCTGAACCCAATGGGATTGCCGCAAAGCCTCCCAGCTGTCAGTGCTCTCGTCTGTAAACAGGCTTGTGCACTGCCTCAGAGTGATGTGGAAGTGCCAGGGACACATGAGTGCTCCCTGCAACTGTTCAAGCCACAGTCACCCTTGCCGGCTTGCCCCGTGGTCTTTGAGAGCTCCTCTGCACAGGCCAGCTTCTTAGAGGGACTGGCTCCTGGACTTGCGAGGACTGTGGCAGGAGCCCCAGTTTGGTGGAGGCACGCAGGTCTGGGCATGCCAGGTAAGCACAAGTACCCCGAAGACCTGAGCTACTCCAGCAGGTGCGCCGTCCACTCTGGGACATAGGCGCTCAGAGAGCAGCCTGCCCGCACCGTCCATTAGAGGGATTGGGTAGGGGATACACACCCCGCTGTGGGTGGGGGATGGAGGCACTCTCCCAGAGAAGGAGACCCTGGCCCTGAGGCAGTGATGCCACGGACTCAGTGGGTTCAGGAGCCCCTTCCTTTCCTCATTGCCGGACCCTTCCAAACATGATTAGGGAGTCTAGGGCTACCCGGAGAAATGAAACATACTGACTGCTTCTTCTTTTTCTCCTCCTCCTCCTCCTTCTCCTTTCCTTCTTCTTCTTCTTTTTCTCCTCCTCTTTCTCCTTCTCCTTTCCTTCTTCTTCTTCTCTTCCTCCTCCACCCCTTCGTCCCCTCTCCCCTCCCCCTTTTTCTTCATCTCCTCCTTCTTCTCCTTCTCCTCCTCCTCCTTCTTTTTTAAAATAAGCTCTATGCCCAACATGGGGCTTAAACTCACAGCCTTGAGATCAAGAGCCTCATGCTGTACTGGAGAAGCCAGCCAAGCACCCTCTGCTTTACGATGGTCCTCCCAAGTGGACCCCAGACTCTCCAGAGATGTGCCAGATGACCCAGAGTTTGACGGTGAACATCACTCACTAGAGTGGTACATTCGTCTACAGATAAACAAGGTAAGTGATCAATAGTGGATATGTGATCAAAACAGTCTGGTGACCATTCTGGAGACCCATTGTCCACCACCTCTCTAACTGAGGGAGATGCCGCTCAGGTGGACAGTTGTGACACATGGTCTCTCCCCAGGGCTAGGGGATTGCTCAATAGATCCCTGTTAAATTATTTTTCCCCCCAGGGGTGCCTGGGTGGCTTACTCGGTTGAGCATCTGACTTGATTTTGGTTCAGGTCATGATCTAAGGGTCATGATCTCAGGGTTGGTGATATGTGGCATGCCCAGATAGAGGGCTCCATGCTCAGCACAGTCTGTCCCTCCCTCTACACCCCTCCTCCACCTTGCATACATATGTGCGGACTGTCTCTCTCTCTCTCTCAAAGAAAAAATAAAGAACTCCTAATTTGAAAAAAGCATCTTCCCTCCAAGTTTTTATTTTGAATATTTGCAAACATACAAAAACAGTTGAAAGAAGATCACTTGTATTTTTTTACCACCAGATGCAAGAGTTAACATTTTGCCATATTTGCTTTATCTATGTATTTGTTACGTATTTATGTATCTTTTTATTTGAATTTAAGAAACCATGACATTTCATCCCTTGACACTCTAGGTGTGTATCTCCCAAGAACAGTCCCCCACAATCTCAATAACTTTATCACACCTAAGAAAATGAAAAAGAATGTTCTATTATCCATGATTCAGTCCATATTAAAATTTCTTAGTTGTCCCAAAAATGTCTGTTGGAACTGTTTCCTTTTTTTAAACTTTTAAAAACTGTTTCTTTTCTTTTCTTTTTTAAAAGATTTTATCTATTTGTTTGACAGAGAGAGATCATAAGCAGGCAAAGCGGTAGGCAGAGAGAGGGGGAAGCAGGCTCCCCACTGAGCAGAGAGCCCAATGCGGGGCTTGATCCCAGGACCCCGAGATCATGACCTGAGCCAAAGGCAGAGGCTTTAACCCACTGAGCCACCCAGGTGCCCCAAAACTGTTTCTTTTTGAATTTGAGTCCAATCCATTGCATTTGATTGATTTATCTCTTTCTTTCTTTATTTAATTTATTATTTTTTAAAGATATTTTATTTAGGGGCGCCTGGGTGGCTCAGTGGGTTAAGCCGCTGCCTTCAGCTCAGGTCGTGATCTCAGGGTCCTGGGATCGAGTCCCGCATCGGGCTCTCTGCTCAGCAGGGAGCCTGCTTCCCTCTCTCTCTCTCTGCCTGCCTCTCCATCTACTTGTGATCTCTCTCTGTCAAATAAATAAATAAAATCTTTAAAAAAAAAAAAAAGGTATTTTATTTATTTATTTGAGAGAGAGAGATTGAGTGCACGGGGCAGGGGAAGGGGAAGAGAAAAGCAGACTCCCCTCTGAGCGGGGAGCCTGACAAGGCATTTAATCCCAGGAACCCAGAGATTATGACTGGAGCGGAAGGCAGATGCTTCATTGACCCCCTGAGCACCCGGGCACTCCTCTTTTTTGCTTACTCTCCCCCAGCTGACCTTTTGAAGAGGCAGGCCAGTAGAGATCTGCAGAAGTCCCGCCGTCTATTTTGTCTGACTGCTTCCTCATGGGGTCATTGGACTTTTTTTTTTTTTTTTTTTTAAGCTTCCTGCAAACTGGAAGTTGTGTCCAAAAGCCTGATTAGATTTAGGCGAAACATTTTTGGCAAGGATGGTCCTGGATGGGGCTGGGTGTGTTTTATTGGGTGCCACAGGACAGGAGCTCCGTCACTGTTAGTGACTATTAAGGAGGTGACTGCCATCTCTCTCCATTGTAAAAATACGCTATTTACTTTGTGATTAAGAAGTAAGCTAGAGGGGGACGCCTGGGTGGCTCAGTTGGTTAAGCAGCTGCCTTCGGCTCAGGTCATGATCCCAGCGTCCTGGGATCGAGTCCCGCATCGGGCTCCTTGCTTGGCGGGGAGCCTGCTTCTCCCTCTGCCTCTGCCTGCCATTCTGTCTGCCTGTGCTCGCTCTCTCTCCCTCTCTCTCTCTGACAAATAAATAAATAAAATCTTTAAAAAAAAAAAAAAAGGGACGCCTGGGTGGCTCAGCTGGTTGGACGACTGCCTTCGGCTCAGGTCATGATCCTGGAGTCCCGGGATCGAGTCCCGCATCGGGCTCCCGGCTACGCGGGGAGTCTGCTTCTCTCTCTGACCTTCTCCTCGCTCATGCTCTCTCTCACTGTCTCTCTCTCAAATAAATAAATAAAATCTTTAAAAAAAAAAAATAAATAAATAAAAAAAAAAAAAAAAAAAAAAAAAAAAGTAAGCTAGAGGGGGTGATGAGGCTTTGTCACCTTGCCCACTTCCCAGTGAACTTTCCCTGAATGGTTTGTTGTGTTTTTTTTTTTTTAATATTTTATTTACTTATTTGACAGAACGCGGGAAGCAGGTTCCCTGGGAGCCCAATGTGGGGCTCGATCCCAGGACCCTGAGATCATGACCTGAGCCAAAGGCAGAGGCTTTAACCCACTGAACCACCCAGGCACCCATCCCTGAATGGTTTTAGTCAGCATCCCTTGTGGATCTTTGCCTGAATTGGGAGGTTGAAGAATGGTGATTTTCTGTTTCTACGTTAATAGAAGCTATCCTTCTGATTAAAAAAGAAAAATAGAAGTTCCCTTCAATGAAACTATGTGCCTCCAAAAATGTAGACTCTGGCTGACTCAGTCAGTAGAGAAGGTAATTCCAGATCTCGGGATTGTGAGTTCAAGACCAATGCTGGGTGTGGGTGTGGGTGTGG